TTGTAATCAGATCAGATAGTTACAATTTTTCTTCCTCTATCAGAAATAATTTTGAAAACTCAAAAGGAGAAAGTTTATTACATTTTCCCATAATTTTGACTTACCTGTTCCTTTCTTCCTTTCTAATGTTTTAAGATTCCTTCTTTTATTTTGATCTTTCTGTTTAGGGTACTATTTGGACAGTTTATAAAATAGGTTTTCTGGTGACAACTTCTTATAGTTTTCCCTACCTGAAGTATTCTTGATGTTTTTCTTCATTCCAAAAAAAATATTTTCCCTGGATATAGAATTCTATATTGAAGGTTCTTCAATTTTAGCACTTGAAGAATATATTTTGGCTTCCGTGGTTTCTGATGAGAAAACAGTTTCATTTAAAATGTTTTTCTATATAGGTAAATAGTAACTTTTTCACAGTTTTAAAAAAAATTTTAATGTCCCTTTAATTTTTAGAAGTTTAACTCTGATTTTTTTGTATGGATGCATTGGGTTTATGCAGTTTGGGATTCACTCAGCTTTTTGAATATGTACTGGTATGACTTTTACAAATTTAAGATGTAATCAGCTACTATTTTAGCATATTTTCAGCCTTCTTTCTCTTCTTGGGACTCAGATGAAATAAATATTAAATGTTTTGTTGTCTCCTTAAAGGTTCCAATGTTTTCTTCTTTCTTCTTCTTACATTTTAGGTTTTCATTTTTCTTTCCATTATATTTATTGGGTAGTCTTTATGGCTATTTTTTAGTTTTCCTCATTCTTTTCTCTGTTTTTTGTTTTAGTTATTGAATGATTCCATTCTAAAAATTCTGTTTGGGGTTTCTTTGTGTCTTCTATTTGTATAATGAGCATCTCTATTTTATGAGGATTTTTACTTGTTCAAAATTTTTTCCAAGTGTGTTCTTGATTGGTGGTTGAAGTAGTTTCATGATGGCTGTTTTAACATATGTAAGGTCATGCTAACATCTTAGTGTTTACATATATGAATTGCCTTTCTTCATTCAGTTTAAATATTCCTGATTCTTTGTATAACAGTGGTTTTTGATTGAAACGTGTACATTTGGGCTATATCATATTATGCAACTCCACATCTCATTTAAACTTTCCAATTTACCTGGTTTCTTCTGGCAGTGCTCTGTGGAGGGAAGGGGGACCCTCTCTTGTTACTGCCAGGTTCCCTGCTCCGCCTTTGTCAACCCCTGAAGTCAAGAAGCTCCCTTTCAGGTGCTCATTGGGAGCGGGGATTATAGGGATGGAAATTTGGTTTTTCCACTGGAACTGCACTGATGCCTCCCGGGTGTTAGGGATAGGAAGCCTTGGTACTGCTCCTACTCGGCATCCCACCTCCACTTGGTTCCACAAGGGGCAGTGGGAATCTAACACTGGGGGACATGAAAGTCCTAACTCTTCACTAGACCTCCTCCTGTGTCACTTTGTTAGGGCCCTCTGGAAGTGGATGGCCAGGTTCCCTGTGGCAAGGGAAGCTTCATTGTCTCCTGGAAGTGGTGAAAATCTTGGCTCTCTTCTTGGCCTTGTCTGAAACCTTTCTGATTGAGGTTGAAGTCCCTAAATGCAACCTCATTAGCATGGAAGTGTGGGCTTCTCACTTGGCCTTGGCTGATGAAGGTAAAGATGGAGACAGCATTTTTTTTCCATATTGTTTGACTTAGAGGCATGGTTGATACCTAGATGCTTCCCTTCTTATCAGGAAGACCTCATTATAGGCCTTTGGCAAGAAGAGGCTAGATTTTGTTGAGCTGTGTGTTGTCTGTGCCTATTGATGTCTCTGGATTGTCAACTCCTTCAGCTCCAAGTCCCTGCTATTTAAAGCAATAGAAATCTCCAGGGAACTTACCACATCATTATTCCTTTCATCTTCAGGTTCCTAGTTGGTCTGCCTCTTCTTTTCACTTTAAAGACTCTTCTTATTTTTATTTCATATAGAATGTCCAGGATTTTTAGCTGGATGCTATGGGGAAAAGATGAAAAATTATATCTACTCCATCATTTTGGAAACATAAATTTTTATGTTGCCTATATTTAAAGGTTAGGTAGGACTCTAGATTATAATATAAATTCTCCTCTTTTGTACTTTTTAATAGTGATAATTAATTTTTAAATAACAGGCAGGCATAATATAAAATGTCTGTTTGCCAACAGGCTATGAACTCTGCTTAGTTCCTTAAGAGATTAGGTTTCCCTGTCAATTTTTACCTCATTATATATAAATTTCCATCACTTATCCAGAGGTGACGGTTCTGACAAACTTAGCCAACATGAACAGAGCCAAGAAAGAGGACTTTATCAGGGAAAATTTCTGGGCAACTAACGTAGATGTCAAAATGTCCAAATACCAAAGTTCTTGTACTTTATTAATAGATAATAAGCCTTTAGGCTCCTACCCTGAGCATCCCTGAGCATGGTTTTAAAAAATAAAATAAGAGCATGTGCACATATACACACAGAGGTAGAAATTCAGCTTGTTATGCCAAGCACATGCAAATTAGAGGAGATAGTTTTTCAAGAGTCAGGAACATAGACAATATTTAAAAGTAAAAACTTAACAGCAAAGCAAGAGAGAAGCAAATTAAAAATCAACTTATAACACACAACACTTAAAGAAACAACTGTGGCTCTTCAGTATTGGTGTGAACAATCTTATGGTCTTTCAGAGAGGCTGAGGGGCTTCTTTTCTCAGTGCCTAGTTTATGTGCTAAGATTTATTATTTATTGTGAGTGGGAAACTTACGGTCTTCTCCCTCTGTCTTTTTAAGTCTATACTTACTTAGCTAAGAAAAAATTAACATAGAGAAAAAAATAACTTTTTAGCCTCTCTGATGTTTTAAAGCATATTACAAATTAGCTACAATACATTTTAATTTTTATTATTCCTGTTTCCACCATTTGAGAAACCAAGTTAGAAAGGCCAGAAGTAATTATGACAAGGGCGTTGTCTAGTTTGTGGTCATGGTAAGATGAGCCTCCTATTAGGTTCTCAATGGCCACACTTGCAAATAGCCTGTGATATGGATTCCAAAATATTGAAATCATTTGATCAGAAGTAAGGACAAGGAATTTTGGCATCTAGAATCTAGAAATTGCAATAATATTAGGACACTTGAATTTATTACTAGGCCATGAAAACTTCTATCCCAGTGCTATTTATGTCTTCTAAGGAAATCCTAAGGTCTTGGTTGGTGACTTTTTAAAAAATATTTCTTTTTTTATTTGTTTTAATTAGTTACACATGACAGTACAATGATTTTGACATATCATACATTTGAATCAGATGGGGTATAATTTCTCATTTTTCTGAGTGTATAGATTGCAAATCACATTGGTTATACAGTCACGTATATACATACAGCAATAATAATGTTTATTTTATTCTGCTGTCCTGACTCTTAAAGGTATTTCTCAACTTGCTGAGTCAGGAACTCTAGAATTTAGGAAACTGCTTTTTTTTTTTTTTTTCCTGAGTGATCACAGTAGCAAAATAACTGTGGTCGGTGTTCATAGCAGGTGTACCTTTCTGTTGCCAATTGTCAAAAATATTTTCTCAGAATTTCAGGTAGCAATTGAAAAAGTGTATTAATAGTGTAGATTAGGAGTGTGCTGAAGATCCAGAAGGTCCTTTGGTGTCAAGAGACAACAGAGCAGCAACTTTGCTTTTGCTGCCTCTGGGTCAAAGCTGTCCACATCGATGCTCACACCGGCTAGCACTTTGGTATACAGGGACCTTCGGTTACAGAGTGGTAAATAGCCAAGGAAGGGTGGGGGGCGGCGATGGTGGTTCAGAACTCCAGATCTGGTCCCCAAGTATTTCCTGACATATTGAGGAGGCAGTGAGCAACAGTAGCCTAGAGAAAAATCATTACCCTGGCTCTGGGTTGTATTTTCCATTTTAATTAAAATTTGTATTTGTCCATTCTGTCCAGGCCCTGGCCCCATGGTCCATGCTATTTTGCATGGCAAATGAAATCAATAAGAGCCTATCATTTGGAACTTGGAGGCGCCTAGGCATTTTTGCCGTTATTTGCTGAGCAGAAGGCTAGTGTTTTCTGAGTGGTGTTTGGCATACACTCTCAGGATGAGGGTGGCATATGACAGGCTGAGGCTCTCTCTGGTTGCCAAAGCATGTGTTAGAGAGGTTCCTCCCCATCAGCTTACCTATTGTATTCTGGTCCTCCTCATTTTCCCTTTTCTGCACTGGGTGTACTAGCAGTGATGGGCATCCTCTGGGTTTTAGCTAATGGCCAAGTGAGTGATTCATCACCAAGGTCTCTAGTTCACCTGTGGCTAGGAAGAAGTGACCAGGTGAATCCAGATGCAGATTTGCAAAGGAATGAAAACTGGCTGGGAGTTTGCTGATGGCTCAATAAATAAATAAGAGGAAGCCTGTTTGCATGTCTACAGTGCCTTTTATTATTGTTCTCCAGATCCACCTAGGCAATTTTATATTAGTCAAATGGCTTGGTACCATTGCAGAGCATCAATAGCAGACTTATGCTTCATGCTCAATTTGCTGATATACTTGTTGTTTTCATTTTTTTCTTCCTTCCTTTCTTTCTTTTTTCTTTTCCCCTTCCCTCCTTTTCTTTATTTCTCTCTTTCATTCTTTTTTTATATTTGCTTTCTTCCTGAGCTTTCTGTAGCATAAAATAGAGGTGGGGAGAATGTCATTAAAGAAGGACAAAATCAATTTCATTTTGAACTGCTTGGTAACAAGATCTTGCATTAGAGTGACAGAATTATCATGTCATTTGTACACATATAGAAAAACAAAAGATGAGCTTCTTGCTATTACTTTTCCCTCCCAATATATTAAATTAAATATCAAGAAAATTAATTTACTGTGTATCAAGTTCTTGTATTTATACTGACTGTTAGACATTGAGCTTTTGCAAGAGTTAGTGTGGAGCTCACCAAGCTTGCCTAAGCAAACTTGAGTCAGACAGAAGGCACCATTTCTTGTAGTCACAGTCTTGGGTTTTTCCTTTGATATTTTTAGGTGGGAAAGTCAAAGGTGCCAAGACTCAGGCCTGACTTTGCTGAAAGCATCAGTGTTCTGGAATAATGGATGTAAAGGACCGGCGACACCGCTCTCTGACCAGAGGACGGTGTGGCAAAGAGTGCCGCTACACGAGCTCCTCCCTGGACAGCGAGGACTGCCGTGTGCCCACACAGAAGTCCTACAGCTCCAGTGAGACTCTAAAGGCCTATGACCACGACAGCAGGATGCACTATGGAAACAGAGTCACCGACCTCGTTCACCGGGAGTCCGATGAGTTTCCTAGACAAGGTAGGTAGCGCTGCCCCGCTGATGGGCTCCAAGCCTTCTCAATCCTTGACTTGGCCTGTAGCAGGCAGATGACTGAGGCTGATAGAAATGGGGAAAGGCACGCTGGCAAGCAAATTGCCCATGAGGGCTTAGTTTAGTAGGACAGTTCCTTTTCCCATGCCCAACTCCCATGGAAACTAAGAGATGCATCCTTGGTCCTGCACACTTGATTCCTTATCAATTCAATGGTTGCTTTTAGAGACCTGTTATGGTAGGTTTTGACAGATGTCACATACAGCAGGTCCTTGGCTACATAAAAGACACTCCTGAGATGATACTGAATCTCTGCCTGAGGAATATGAGCTGATCCATGTTGTTTAGACTCTCTTCTTGGAATCCCACTTGCAAGCCTCCAAGAGCTCATGTTGCTACTGCTTCATGAATTGGAATGAATTGGCCTTTTCAATTAGATTCTCTTTGAATAAATGCTGTGTGTCAGTTAAAAGACATCTGAACACATTTTGTGTAATAGCATATAATTTCTTGCCCCACCAAAGTATGGTGTTAACTATGAGTTATACAGTTTACTTTTATATTTCAGAGCACAGGTGGCACATATATGTTATTACCTGTTTCCCATGATATAATTTTTTCCCTTTTGCTTTCACCAAACATTAATTATATTATAATACTTTGATTACTTTTGTATGAATATTGATCTTCCAGGTGCTAATAATTAGCTTTTCCTTGGTGTCATTATCCATGAAGAATTCTGTTATCACTTGTCCAGGGTCATGCAAATGTATTGGCATGCAGACTGAAGCAGTGCAGGGCCGGAGGCAGAGTGGTGAAGTCCACTTACTGCTCCATGTCTTTCACTTTGAGTACCAGCTTCACCTTGGTGCAGTTCACATAATTAACCCTGCAAAATTACAAGTAAATCCTCAAACCGCAGGGAATGCAGGGGGTAGAGTCAGGCTGCCTGCACCACAAGTTTAGGCTCTGTTCTGTTGAGTTATTACATCATTCATTTTATACCTTTGAGTTTTTTAAATTTCCTGTTCTGCATCCTTGACAATCAATTTGTTTGATTCCTAATGAGATGTCTTGGCTCAGAACCACATTCCTGGCTTCTTAGCTTCCTTAAGTTCTTAAATTACTTTTGCTTTTCTTTATTCTATAGAAAATATACATATGCATGTTATTAATTAGCATTATGCCCAAGATTTATAAATCTAGAGTCCAGATATTGTTCAAAAACATGTTGTCATATCCTCCCATTTTATCTTGCCTCCCGCTTTTAAATGTAACAGAATATTTTTAAAAAATCAACAGAGAAACAGTGAAATTATGTTTTTGTTGCCATTGTGTGTCCTTCAGGGAACAATTTTCATTTAATCTTTACTCTGATTTTCTGAGTACCAGAGTCTTCATGAAAATGAAACACATACTGATCCCTCTCCACTAGAAAAGAGGGACAGAATCTGCTTGAAAATTGCTCTGGATCAAATGTGTTTGATCTGCAAGTCACTCCAACATGTGCTTTACTTCATTAAGTACTCACCTGACCCCAGGTAGTAGGTAGTGGGAATTGGTGGGGGAAAAAATGAAGAATCCAAGCTTAATTAATGAGCAGAGTGCTTACATTTCCAATATGCAGAAATTAGGATACCTGTCGGCTCTTTCCAAGAGCATCACTGAGAGGAGACTCTGGTATTTTGAAAGGTGATGTGTGCCCAACGTGGAGAAAAGCTTTTCATCTTCTGCTGGAGCGTCTGTGTTGTTTGTGGTGTTGCTGCCTGTATTTTGTTTCTGTCCTGAAATATATACTCTTCCTCCTAGGCCTCATTAAAGGTGCATTCTGACTTCTGGATCAATGAGCTGTAGATTCCAGATTATTGTTGAATGGCGGATGGGCCCATCATCTTTCCCCTTATTAATATATACTCCAAACAAAACCAAGTGCTGGGATTTTATTTTCCAATCTACCTTTATTCTTCCTATTTAATCTTATTCTCCTCCATTGATAATAATGGAGGCTGCTTGGCCATATCAAACTCATAGCTTTGCAATTAACAATTCACACATGCCGCGTGTTGTTATTGAGCCCATATTTGTTTGTGTAATGTGTTTGCATGAATTAAAAACTGTGCAGTCCAAAAGTAGAAATGAAAAGGCATCGGAAAGTATTTGCATATGCAAGTGCAATTCCTTCTGAAGACATCTATGAATTTATGCATGAAAATGTAGTCAGAGTCTGAGTGGATCTACTTTGATGGGCTCTAAAATTGAACTCTGCAGGAAGTAAATAAGCACATATTTAAGGAGGGGAGGAACAGGAGATACAATCTGGCAAACAGCACATGTAACTTGAAACTGAGCCACTACACAGAGGGTTAAAATAAATTTTACACTCAGTAATAACAATAATTTTTTAAATGTCATGCATTTCCCATTTTATTTTCTTATTCATGAAATCAAAGAGCAGGATCATCTCAGCACTTATTAGCCTGGAGTTACATTAGCAAGGATCATAGCAGGATCATCTCCTGCAGTATTCTTATTTAAAACCCAAGACACTGATCATAAAACAAACACGCTTCTCACATACAAGCAAGTTTGGCAAACACAGTTGGCTGGCTCTCCAAATGCTCAGAGTGGAAAAGAATTGCCAACCTGTAAAAGTGATGTGGGGTCCAGAGTCTGACCTTGTCCAGCTCCCCAGAGGCCTGCTGAGGTATCTAACCAGAAAGCTGCTGCAACCCAGCAGGAGGAAGGGGGCAGGGGCTCCCAGGAGGAGCTCACCGAAGCTCCCATCAAATTGTGCCATCTTTGTCTGCTTGCAACACAGAATCTTTCTATGCCTTCTTCTGTGCTGGCCTCTTAGGTAGAGACTATGCAAATTACCTGTCTGGCCTCTGTTATGCTGGATCCTCCTGGTGTGAAGGGAGAGAATCGCTGACCTTAGGTCTGTGGCCGCTGGAGTAATTAGTAATTAGTAAATGACTAATCCTGCCCTGAATAGTATCCTAGTGGTCCCAGAGTTAATGCGCCTGACAAAAGTGAACAGCAGTCTGATACCTGGTCAGACAGAGCCCCCATCCAACCTGTGAAAAAGATGCCACTTTGAATAATGAAGATAGGCTGAGTTCCCCAGCAGATTGTACAGCTTGTTCTTCTAGACTCTGAAGTAAATGTGTGGAGTGGTGTGTCATACACTGCTTCTTGTGTGGCATAGTTACCTAACATCAGACACGAATTCTGCTTTGGCATATTTGTGTAACTGTGACGCCGATCAGCACTGTGTGCTCCATCTACATGGTTTTTAGTAGCATCAAGCAAGGACAATAAGAATAATAACAGAATCCTAACACTGGCTGAATACTTTCTTAGTGTCAGGTGCCAATCTAAGTGTTTTGCTTGTATGAACTCACAACAATGTCCCGACATAGATGCCATTGTTACTTCCCATTTTTTCCCAATTAGGAGACTGAGATATACATGTATGTGACTGGATAAACCAACCAGGGCCAGAAACATAGGAGGAGGAGTTGAGCGATTTCCTACCTGGAGAGCTTATTTCAAGAGCTGTGTTTTATACCATTGTGCTTGGTCACATGCCAAATAAGAGCGAAAACAAACCAAAAACAAATCAGGACAGCCTCAGTCAAAGGCTTAGGAGGTTCTATGAAGCTCAACTCTCAAGCCTTATAAGGATCACAGCTTTAAATCTCTGTTAGCAATGCAGAAACTGCAGTCACTAACACTGATTGAGCATATCATGTGCAATACAAGCAACCCCCTACACACTGACATCCATTTCCACAGCGGTCCCAGACTCCCTAGACCAGTCCTACTTTCCATCCTCTCCACCGAACACCACTACAAGAAAAAAATTCCTAGGGTAGGAATGAGTGCCAGGCTGTCAGCACCGATTCTCTGTCCCCCTCAGAGTGATCACCTTTTTGCACGACCTCTCAGCCTGGAACACTGACCAAGAAAGATGTTGCTATCTAAATGATATTGCTCAGGTAAGCAGAACCAGTCGGTTTCTGTGCCAGCTGAGGCCCAGTGGGCCAGAGAGTTCAGCCAGGCTTCTCATTCCTCAAAAAGCCCTTCTTTCCAGTTAGTAGTTCAAGTCTCTTGAGAGGGGGCCGAGATTGAATTCTTTCTCTGTACCTCAGACTGTCTGTTTGGGTCAAGGTTGAAGAAAGAATTGGGAGAAGATTGGATTTTTCAAAGTATGCTTGCATCGCTTCTCTCAATCAGTTCTAGCAAAGCAATAAATTTCACCAACTCTCCCTTGCACTTAAAAAAAATACGTAAACACACACATACATATTTTAGACTCAGTTTAGTTAGGGCACTTCATAAATTAATTCTCGCTCCTAGGACTTTTAAAATAATTTGGATAAAATAAATTTTGCTGTGTGTAATTTGGCATAGCATAAATTTTTAACCCATGTTTTTAATTTTTTTTTTTTTTTAGTTGTAGATGGACGCAATATCTTTATTTATTTATTTTTATATGGTACTGAGGGTTGAACCCAGTGCTTTGCATGTGCTAGGCAAGAACTCTACCACTGGGCCACAACCTCAGCCCTTTAATCCATGTTAATAAATTGAAAACTAGGAGCCACTGGTAATCTGGATAAAATATTGACTATATCAATTCAATTAATGCATGTGGTAATTATAGAAGCATTTTGAAAACCTATAAACATTTCTTTCTATCACCATCTTAAAAATAGTTACATTTTTCCTATCCCCGGATCATGGTTATAATGATTCTATTTTGAAAACTCCAGTACTTTGATTTACCTACAAAGAACAACTTTTAGGTTTTAGTGAAGTTGAAGACACTGGTTAATATTTGGAAGGGTAAAATGTATCTTGAGAAGATTGCCTTCAATTTATTTTCTTTACCTCATGAAAGGACTTCTTTTCATCTTTGGTGGTCTTGTTGTTAAAAAAAAAAAAGAAAAGAAAAGAAAAATCTTTAGAAAAGGAGAATCTGTAAC